CGGCCACGGCGTGGCGCTGCGTTGGAAAGAGAATACGAGCGTCATCATGTTCAAAACGCGAGGCGTCCACGTTGACAACAGGTACATCCCCGGCCAGTCTTTGCAGGTAAGGAATTAAGACGGACTCAATCGCATCTTCATCCGCGGTCTCGGCTATCGGAAACCTGGACAAATTCCCTCGGGACGCTGCATCTTTCTTGAACCCTGCCAGAAGAGCCTGCCGACCACCTTCCACAAAGAGAAGGATAGCCTTGATAAAATCGTAACCGAACTGCTCCTTATGATCGACGGTGCGTTCGAGCGGGGGCGAGTGTATCTGTTGAAAAGGTTCCATGTCACGATCCACATCTCCGGGGGTGTATTGGACTTCACCCCCTAGAACTCGTGCGACGGTGCCTGCAGCTTGAATGAACCGCCAGGAGGTCTGTCGGTTTCGACGTAAGGTTTGCTGGAAGCGCACAATATCGGGAGTAGGGTTGACAGGGTATCGCCAGGTACGCATAATCTCATTCATCTGCGGGAGACAGATGGAAGCAAGGGTTAGTACCGTCGAAAAGGACTCGGTGAACGGTGTCAGGTCAGCTTGATTGGAGGTTTCATATTCTTCGCGCAAGGACGTCTCCAGTGAAAACATTGCTTTACGGAGCTTGACCATGTCTTTGGCAATGCGCATGCTGAGCTTCTGCGCTTCATTAAGCACAGACAATCGTGACTGCTCTAGCAGTCTTTGGGGGACCTCCGCATGGTGTTCCGTGAGAGACGGGAGGGGAATGTCCTCTGACTCGCCATTGCCATAGCGGACTCGGAAGGCCAGCTCGCCTTCATCGTGACGCTCTCTGGGTCGACGACGAGGTCGGGTTTGATTTCCGCTGGACTGCGAGGACATCGAAGTCCCATTCTGTCGCTTACGCTTCCTCGCCTTAGAGCCTCGGCGCCGACGCGGGACCGGCGTCGTCCGGGCGGAGGATTGGCGCTTGGACGCATCTTCCCTTGCATCCGGGCTCCGAATCAAATCGAAACTATATATGTGATCGCCGGACCAGCTGACAACCATCTCATTTGGGTTGGCGTCGCTAATCTTACATGCAGTGATATGTCCGTCATCGCGCGTTTTCATTCGTTGCTGGCCGTTAGGGGCGAACCTCCGCACACACCGCGTCGCCTGATCCATCAGCTGTTCACCGTGACTACTACTGCCAGGCGAGGCCCCCGGATCACCCCTCTCCGTCATCAAGTCGCGACCTAGCATGCGCCTGTCATGTAGGAAACAGTGAAGGTGGGCCCCGCCTAGCGCGATATAATGGGGTTGGCTCGGAGAGCACGAGATAGTGTTGAGGTCAAGTCGGTGTTTCTTGTAAGAAATCAGCGGAGGTGGTACGTTGGAGTCGTCGTGTTCCTGTCCCGGTCGAAAAGCCATGTATCCTTGGCCGCCTCGTGGCTTTGGGTAGGCGGAGGATGGTTGGCGCAAGTCCCATTGACGAACCTCACCATCTTCCGAGCAAGTCAGGAAGAGGTAGGGCGACGACTCGGTAACGATCCGCTTGACCCGATCGGCATGACTGCGATAGACTCTGACGTTGGTATTCCCCGCATTCAAGTAGCGCGCATTGTTAAAAAAGTTGTTAAACCTTCGGCTCCGTGCAGACGCAGAAAAGGCAGACGTGGCGTCGACGCTGTTGCTGCTATTGCTGGAATATTCGATGTCAAAAATACGAACCTGGGAATCACCGGCGCAAGTCACCAAAGTTCGATCGTTGGAGTGTGGCATGAATTTGACCGAGAAGACGTTCGCGCTGTGGCCCGTCGCGACGGTAGTATTTAAGGAGAATGGTGCGGTGGAAGAATCGGGTTGATAGGAATAGATGTTCAGGTGCTGGTCGTCCGAGCCCGAAGCTAGAAGCTGGCCTGACCGCGACCAACTACGCAGCGTCAGAAGCGATGCATTTCGCCAGACAGGGTCCCCCACTATGGAAACGAGTCCTCCAAAAGACATTTTAAGAACGTAGCACAGTAATATCATACCTCAAGGCATTCACACAGCCCGAATGCCCACCCAGTTCGTTCACGATATCCAGGTTTTCCACCCAATCCTTGGAACCATAAAGGCCATGAATGCTCGTGAACCGGGAGTCCTCCCCCAATTCCCGGCGCCAGATGCGATCATAAAGCGACTCTTTCATGGCTAAGTCGATGAATAGGCGACAGATAGTGGACAATCAGGCGACACGAGATCGAAGCATTGCGCGCCGTGGAGGTTTTGCTGCTGCCACACCTTCAATGACGTCAGACTCGAACGTGCGCAAATCGCGTTGGCGCAAAGCTCACAAACGAAAAGGTAGACATAGGCTGGTCAGGAAGGGGAAGGAGAATCACAGTGTCAGATGAGAAGAAAGCAAAAGTAAGAAGAATAGCCAGTGGAGTAGAGAGAGTAGCGTGAGGGAATTCAAGAGGAAAAGAAGAAAGCGAGACGAAAAAGGAGAGGAGAAGAAAAAAGGCTAAAGGTGGTGGTGGTGACGGGAGGATGGCGAACGGTCCAGACATTCCCTCGGGATTGATAAGTCAAAGGAAAGGATCCCCAACACAACACAACACAATCCATCAACACCGTCCAGCTCGGGAAAAGGTTTGGGGTTGACAACCGTGACAGGTAGTAGTGACCATCAAAGCAGAAAATCAGAAAAAAGATAAAAACAAATTCAATATGGAGTGTTACATACCAGCAGTAGATGTGGTTTTGTTTGGGGGGGGGGGGAAAAAGATGAAGATGGTCTATGGTAGTTGGCGCTAGTTGGCACTTCTTCGTACTTGTGTCCCGTTAGTTGGAGGGGAAGCCGAAGAACAAGATGGAAGAGGACAGACAGACAGACAGACAGACACTGGCGGGAAGAACAAACAAGCAAGAGGGGGAAGGGAACCAGCACCAGCTCAGCTCCACCGGGCCCAGGCTATCGGGGGTGGAATAGAGGAAGAGAGGAGAAATGCACCCAAGGCACCACCAACTCAGGTCACAACCACGTCAAACACTGCATTAACTTTAGGACTCATCACTGTTGGTACATTAAAGTACTATCTTTTCCGAGTCAGAAAGAACAAGAAAGACACAGACAAGTAGATAGTAGTCCTGAACTAGTACTTTGCAGGATACTTGCAGCATCTCCAATTTTGGGGGAAAGAGGGAAGGGAGAGGGGGAAAGAATTCCGGGCGATACAGGACTCGACTTATATAGTAACTAGGTAGCAGTAGTAAACTACTTAACTACGGCTCCTACAGAGAACACTAATTGACTAGTAATTGACAACCTACTCGTCCATCCCACAGGAAGATTCATCCAATGGTCCTCGTTCCCTCCCTCCCCTCCATTTCTCCCACAGGATTCCCAGGCACATCTAGTCTTACCCATTCAGGAGATTCCCCGATCGTCGATGGACTGAGTCGAGAGGAATCCTATGCACAACGGGGGAGGAGGAGGGCCAGCGCCAGGAGGTGCATTAGATCCCACAGTAGTCTGTTGGGCTCCAGCTGCGAAGGTGTGTAGCTGAAGCAATAGGCATCGTTGATCAGAAGGAGTTACACTGCTGAGGTGGAGCCTTGTCTGCCTGCCCTAGTCGTCAAAGTAGTTTAGTTGGACTGGGAGTGGATTATTCTTAGAGGAAGGACTGAAGGAGACGTTACGGTTGGCTCTGGGTGAAGCTTAATCGGGTTGACTAGGGTAGATACCACCCGAGGGTGTCACTCCAAAAAGGTTCGAGATCCAGACAGAATCCCCGTTCCAGTTGTGGTGATGCTTCGGAAAGACCCAACGTCAATGACGACACCGCTCCCCACGTTGCTTAGTCACTGGCCGCGCTAAAATGGGGAATTTGGCAGATGGCAGAGATGGTATATAAACTAAACCTCAATCAGAGAGCCAGACATCCTATACCCCCTACTCCCTGGCGAGGAGCAGTTTACGTGTACACTCCCTGTTCTCCTTCCTACGCTTCAGGGAATCGGTAGTCATTTACCCCTCCTTGTCTCCGGGGTGTAACCAAGAGGTGATTCATTACTATTTGCCTCGACAGTATCTATACGCACGGGTTGAGCCTACATCGGAGTGCTCCAATTCGAGCTCTGGAAATCCAGTTTGGAAATGGTCAGAGAATAACCTGTTTGTTTCCCCCCCGTCTCCTTTAGTACGCTGGGCTCATCATCAGACACTGGAGGGTTCCACCTTCACCCAAGCGATCTGCACGGTCGTGCACAACGTCCGCGGAAACACAGAAGGCAGAGCTTGATGTAGCCAGCGGTCAAATTTATCATGCTTGTCGCAAGCCGAGGCCTGCACTGCTGTAGACCTTCCCGCGGTGAAACATGGCCATTGGTGGCACAGATTCACAAACAGCGCAGACCGATTCTTTGGAGGGGAAAGAACAGCTTAGACTCTCACGGAACTTGCAAGAGAACGGACACCCCGAGCATCGGACAAGGGAATCTAAACCCAGGCCATCGCACGCTCCCTCTCCTCCCTTTCTCCCTTTTAGTCACAAGCGCGCGAGAGGTCGCTGGTCGGGTGAACAGGTTTGCTCCAGCCGTCTCCCCAAAATCAAGAATTAGAGTGGGATGGTTGAGCTTCTAGAATCTCAAGAGGCTATGATAACCGGTTGTAGTATCGTTAAGCACCCCGAATGTTGTCCGACCGCTGGCCAGAAGCCCGCCTAGGAAGGGCTAGCGCAGAATTCTGGCGAATGATTTGCTCTCTCGTTGATAATAGGACTTCTGCGAGAACCGGTTTTTGGGTCCTTGGATGACACATGCATGCCTGGCTATGCAGACGGTGCCTGCGAATCGCTCCCATGGTTCGATTCCGCTTACGCTAGTAGATCCGGCAGAAGCAGTAATCTGCATGCTATACCCCTGGGGAAGATAGGGTTTAGCATGGGGTTTGATAACGGAACAGATTGACCTAAACAGGTTCCTTCCAGTTTGACCTTCGCCCCAATTCTTCGGCGTACAGCGAAATTCACGAGTTCAACGACGGCCGTCTCCACATTCCAACTGCTGGAACCTTCCGATCATGTGCCGGATTTGCAGTCAATTGCCGGGCCAGCTGACTAACCCAATCGCGTTCTGACTTTACGACGTCGCTTTCAATCTTACGGATCGTGTTCAGTTCCTCAACCATCATGCTGGCCATTTCTTCTAGCCCCTTGGCTGTCCGAAACAGCGCGGAGTCGCCTAAAGGACCCGGATCGCCATATCCAAGGATGTCCAGGCTCTGCAGTTGTCTCAGGCACAGTTCAAGCTTCATGACCAAAGCAGATGTCTCGTCCCGCCAACCATGGTTCAAGGGATCGACAAAGACTACCTGGTCCAAGTTGCGACCATGATGAAGACGAAATGTCCGTATCTCCTCAACTCTTTGAAACCAGGCTTCGAAATCCTGGACAGCCACTGTGTGCCGTCCTTCCAAGTTGTCAGAGAGATTATAGACTTCCTCTGCTACTTGAGAAAGTATCCGTATCTGCTCTGCAAACCCTCGTTGCTCATTGCGCTCACGCGTGTTCTCAAGCCAGTGATGCAACGCATGCCCGTTGAGCTGTCTCTGGTACTCCTTCTCATCGCCCAGAGCCGCTCGATAGTCGCTTGCCACTAAATTATAATCGCTCCGTAGTCGTGCTTCAGCGGTAGTCTCCCATTCAATGTGTTGTTTGCACGAAGACAAGTGAACCAAGCTCAATTGCAAAAGTTCTGTTTGTAGCGCCGCAATCTCCGGCCAAGACGAAGGAAGCAACGAAGAATCTGTATCCACTGCGGGCGAATCTGCTGCTTTTGTTGCAGTCGTTGGCTTAGCCACCTTCTTTGAGGAGAGCGGTTGTTGGTAGGTCGAGAGCTGGGCCCGTGACCGTACAGTGGCGGAGGTAGGGAATGGCGAAGGAGGGTCAACTTTCCTCGGAGATTGAGGCCCGGAAGGTAGCCCAATTCCCTGGCTGCGATGCCGCGCATGGCCTCTAGTCACGGATGGCGTGCTCGAGCTCGAGGCAGCAGGCTGTCTAAGAGAAGCCGACCGGGCAAGTCGCGGAGGCGGAGGCATATCGGTTTTCTTCGGGGACAAAGGCCGTCCATTTTGTCTCGCGGGTGTCTCGAATTTCTTCGGCGATAAAGGTCGTCCATTCTGTCTGGAGGGTATTTCTTGTTTAATCGGCGATGACAAACTTGGAGCAACGGTAGGCCTTCTGGACGAGGTAGAGGTAGGCTTCAGAGGTGCCGAAGGCTTTAGCGGGCTCGGTCTGATCAGGCTTTGGCGACGGGTTATGCCGGTATTCTCCTGAGCGGGCTGCTGCGATTGCGGGACCTTATCTGAAGGCTTGCTAGGCCGCTGGGCTACGCGGGGCTCAGACGGTGGTTGTAGACGAGAGGATCTTGTCGCACGTCCCTCATCGCGAATAGGCAGGAGGCTCTTGCTCCGAATGACGAGGTTCTCGGTGCTGGTCGCAGCGCTGGAAGATGTGCTGGTTGCTGATGTCGAGGTCGTGGATGCTGGCTTACCCGTCGTCGTTGTGCGCACTGCAGAGTTCTTTTTGATGATAACAGACGTCAGTAGTGTTGGTGGAGAGCAAAAGCATGCGAGGGATGGGTAGCTCTCATGGGCGCTAGGGGGAAGGGATGGTGGAATGGGCTACTAGCAGATGCGACACTGACTTGTTTGCGGGGCTCACGAAGCGAAAGGGAACGCGTTGGAATTGGCATGATTGCTGAAGATCAAATCATATGTGTGACATTCGACTGATTGCAATCAGATCAGTCCGAGACGGGGCTTTGCCGGGGGGGATAGATACGCTGCCCGGAAACCGTCGTTGTAAATAGACGAGGCCTGAGCTTAGCTGAGGACGGCAGGTCCGTGGTTGCCCCGTCTTGCGGTGAAGTTCCGCTTTCCCCCAGGGCAAAGCTTGGCACCGCGTCAGGTGGATCGAGCCCATCTGCATGGACAGCTATCATTCATTCACTCCCTATGCATGTCTACATCGATACTCCGGGCATAGGTGGAATTTCTTTTCGCTATTCTGTAATAGAGACAGACAGCTCGAATACGATCATAGAATCATTCTCATTCATTCAATTAAGACCTGTCTGTGATATCAGAAGGATAACGATAACACAAACTTTTGGCAAGTCTAAGAAACCCTCCAACAGCTAGAAGATAAGAGGCAATGAACAATTCATCCAGCCTTGAACGTACGTGGTCCTAAGCCGTCCCCCTTGCTCTGGTAATACAGGTGGTCGAATAATAGTAAAGCTCAGGGGACCCTTTTGAGATTAGTTGAATCCTTCCGTAGCCTCGCAATGACTCTCTCCCTCTTATCCTTCACCCCAGCCATCATACCAAAGCAAATTCGTACCGATTCCACTCATAAGTTACAGGCTTCCACGTCGGGGGAAAGCGACTCCCTCCACAGCCGCATTATCGGTGAACCAGCTCACCTTCTCGCCACCACCCTGGTTGACGAGAGCGGAGGGCAGGTCCCTCCCCTCCTCAGCGTCGAAAATCGACTTCATGATGTCCTTCTTTCCACCGCCAGTGGCAACAAAGGCGACGTTGAGGGCGTGAGTCACCACGGGCAAAGTCAGAGTAATGCGCTTCGGGGGCGGCTTAGGAGAGTCGCTGATGGCAGCCACCCAGGAATCCTTCTCCCGCAGCAGTTCGTGTCCGGGGAAGAGACTGCACGTGTGGCCGTCGGGGCCGCATCCCAGTAGGATTAGATCAAAAACGGGCAGCTTGACGCTATCCTTGGCGGCAAAGGAGCGCATCAGCTCTTCCTGGTACAGATCCGCCAGCTCCTGCGGGTCGTCATCGTTGACGTGATCGGCGTCGATCGTGTGCACGGTCGGGGCACCCAGTTCCGAGGGGATCTTGTTCAGTAGCTCTTCCTTCAGCAGGCGGTAGTTGCTGTCTTCGTGATCGAGGGGCACGGCGCGCTCATCGGCAAAGAAGATGTCCCACTTGGAGAACTGAGCGGTATCCTCGGGGGAGCCATTTCCAGGGGCCAGCAGGGCTTGGGCGAGGACTTTCGGAAGGGAGCCACCAGAGACTGCGACGCGGAATGTGCTGTGACGGCTGAGGGCCGAGTTCTGACACCGCAAGACGTAGGGCCTCAATTGCTGGGCCAAAGCGTCGTTGTTAGGGAAACTGTAGAGGTTGGGAGCAGATCCGGCCATTGTTACGGCTAGATAAGACGCGGGTGAGAAGTGGGGATGGGGAGAGAAATAAGATGGGAAAATTCACGAGTTGGTAGAAGAGAAGAAAGAGTAGTATTCTCGGTCGCTGATTACTTGGTAGTTGGTAGGTAGTTGGTGGTGGTGGTGGTGGTTTTCGGTCAACAGCTTCAGGCGGGGTGTGGCGGGGCAGCAGAGGAGACACTGGAAAGGCTCCGTACCTGCCGAAAGCGAATCACAACCCGGGCGCAATCTGGGAACACGTTCCTGCGCCATCCACCAGCCAGTCCAGGAAACCCCCGTCATCATCATTATTATTGTTTTTTTTCCCTTCTTACAGCATCATGATGTGGATAGCATTATTCCTTGGGAGATAGGGAAAAGAAGGGAAAGAGGGGGAGGTGGGGGGGAACACCCAATCTTCGTCAGAAAGACGCTAGTGACGGTCGCTTCCCATGGATTGACGAAGTCACTGGTTACAATGTCGGGTTGTCAGTTGATACTGTGGTGTGTAGGACTAGATCGTCTAGAACTGCGCGATGGTCAGTCGGGAAAGAAGATCTGGCAGTCCCAGACCCTAACCATGACGTCGTTGTTGATGCCATAACCAAGGTGGAAGGGAAGCTCTTTTGCAGGAACGTGTTTGGTGAATTGTGACCCGCTCGATAAGAAAAGAGTTCCTATCTCGACACTCAGGCTCGGAAATTCGGCGAGGTTCTCTCTCGCTCGTCTTATGCTCTCATCCCACCTCGGAAGCTTTCAAGAGACGGGATACTGAATAAACACCATTGTTCGTGAATTGCGAATTTTCCCTGTTTTGATGCCTCGTCGGTTCCTGGTCGTTCAATGGAGGGGAAGGGAACACGAAAGAGAAACCGATGCATGTGAGATGATGTCACCGTAACGTCTCGCTGTCTTTAGAGGGGACAACTGGGAAGCTTCAACCTAGTACTACTGACTAACTAACTAGTTAGTACAGATTGTTGCTAACTAACTCATAAAATTACCGCTGCATTGTGACTAAAGCATTACCGATGATGATTGGCAGGTTTGGACCCTCGGCGGTTGAACACCACCACTCAAAAGATGGAAAGAAAGATACAAAGTAGATAGGACAAGTCGTAGGCACTGACGTTTTAGTCCTCGTGCATTACCGCCAACGGGGTGCGGACCGGATGCTCACGCGCGATTACACCATCCTGCAGATGCCAAAGAAGAATCCAGCAGTAGGATGACCTCCATAAGGCAATTCTGGCACCCGGTGACTGTCCTAAACTAGCGGTATCAGTGCATCGGTGCAGGACGGAACCATCATCGCAATGGCCCTATTTTGCCCCGTAAGAGCCTGAAGAAGTTGTGGGAAAGCCCGGAAGTCAAGCAGGCCATCCTCTGAATCGCTATGGAGACGAGAAGGAAAAAGCGGCACTGTTGAGAAAGAAAAATAAAATACATGTGCCTGACTTCCGCTACTCCCGTAGCCATCGTGAGTATGGTATCAACCTCAATCCATACATCATTTTCATACGGCCAATGCATGGATCCGGGGTGATAGTTTTACGCACGGTAAAGTATGCAGGTCTACTTCCCTTTTTCTGAGGCCGTGATCCCAGTCCTAGAGTACGTCAAAAATTTCCATAGGCCATGACTCGTGGCTATGCCCGTTTGACATAAAACGATGCATGGGCAAGGCATATCAGGTGACACGGACCTGCCGTACATCCTTCCCTCTGCACCAGACGACCTGTCTTTTCCAGTCCCCGTATGCAGAATAGGAAGACTATAGGATGTAGCTACAGGTTATACTGCTGCACCTGGAGCAGCAGCCAGCATTATCCTTTTTTTCAAAGTGGGGTTGAAGAGGGGAATGAAGTACAGATGGGGTGCTGTATGGATTGCTAGGTACAGCGAAGCGTTCCGGGATGGTGGTTGGTGGTTGGTTGTTACCAAAATGAACAACCGACCTAAAGTCCATAGCTGTCATCATTTCCATTCTTGGCAATTAGCCGTGATGCTGGGATGAAAAGGCATCTAGTCTGTAGTTGTAGGGCCATCGCGGATCGGCAAATTACCGGACACTACGAAGCAAGAGAGCGAGAGATCAACAAAAATAGCACAAGGATCCTACCCCGTACATAAGCAGAAAATGCCTCAAGGATCTCACGGCCCTCAGAATGCACACGCACGAAGGAAAAAGGAGTCAAGCACCTGCGGTGCTCAACACCGCAGGCTTGGGTCCCAGGCCAACTAGCTCACTCCGTCCCCTCCCCAATAATGCATGGCAGGTAGGGGAACGGGAGTAGAAATTCGGGTTTTCGGCTGGGTTTCCTTTTCCCCACTGTGAAGGACGAAGAAATCGACTGCAGCTAGCTCGCTAGCCACACTCACCAAGACAAGCCGGCTTTGGCTGGGTTCCCAAGCGCAACTCGAGATACGAAATGAATCAGGTATTTTTGGTCCAGCAGACGGCCTGCTGAGGAAAAAATGGATCAGACCATCCGCTAGCCACCGGGGTGCAGCAACGACAAACGACGGCGCAGAGTGAGAGCACGGAAACGGGTTCCGTTGAGAGCCGAATGACGGGCGATCAAGGAATGTCCACTGCGCCCGGAATGGATAACTCAGGATAGTGGTGCTACTGGATAGTTAGGCAGCTGGGAAAGGCCCGAGCCGGTAGAACATTCCTATGGTCCGTGTATGCCTACGCCGATATTGCATCAGGAGGTATGAAACTGTCCAAATGTCTTAAACCGGACAGCATGGATCGACTGCCCGATAAAACCTGCGAGGAATGATGGACATGGCATGGCGACTGGAGGAGGATCCTTTCAATGTCTGACAGTAGAGTCTGAAACGCCCGGGGTGGAGCCCGTAACCGCCTCACGGTATGCAACACAGCCGCAGGTCTTTGCACGAGGCTGAGGTAATATTGGCAAATGATGGGATTCATGCCTACCTTTGTACGGAATACTTTGATGGTAATTTGACCAAAAGGAACTTTTTTTGAATGATGAATAATCGACAGGGTTCTGGTTGTCATGGAGAGCTCATGATGATGATAGCTACGATCCATGGTCTACCAATCGCAGACTGCAATCGAGCAGCTGAGGCTAACTCTTCCGGAAACATGACCATGGTAAGTTCCTGTTAGCGCCGTACTTCCGACAGCCTGGGAGACCCGTAGAATGGTATCATGGTTCACCCACTCAGCAGCGTGTTTGGGACTGACACTTGTTCAATGGAGGTTTAGTTGGGTTCAGTAGTGACAGGCAGCCACTGAAAGAGATGAAAATAGGGCAAAAAAAAAAAAGGCACCAGGGCACCAGGGTACCCCATGCTCCGCCAAGGTGAAATGGTCCACTTAATACTCTCATTCTCATTTTTCACCATTTTCATATGCCCTCGCAAAAAATTCCAATAGCCCCATATAACTATCATGCGTTGGGCCTGACTTAGCATGACTAAGGCACAAAAGGTAGTGGGAACGGAACGGTGGAGGTGGTGGAGGTGACCAGCGAGGGCGAACCGATACGCCGATTACCGGCCATTCGGGCTCTCATTTGTCGAACCACAAGTACAGCAAGGCCACGAGTGTTCCTGAGGGAAGAGGAGAATGGCAGATCGAAACCAGTACCCAACACTAACAGTCCAGGCGATCGCCCCGGACGACTCCATCCACCAGGATCAGTCATGACGACACGACCCTCGGCTTTGGGAGCGAAGCACCAACGAGAGGAGGAAAAGCCACGATGTGCGGACGAGGGGTGGTTGACGCAGCCAAACCAAGCCTCGCTGGCCTGCAGGTGAGGTAGAAGGCAGGCAAGCGTAAGTAAAAGTACAGTTATGTTATAGGTTGATGATTATCTAGTAATTAGGTCAATCAGTCAGTCCTGTGGCAGCTGCACTTTTAACAGAGCAAGAATATAACCAGAACCCTAGCACTACATACGTAAGTAGTGGCTTGTGCTTGTAATCTATGCAGGATACTGGCATTGCTTGAAAAGTGACCGACAGGGCAGTTGAAAGTCAAAATTAAAAGTTAATTATAATAAAAAGACAATGAATTAAGATCACATCATTATTGTCGACCGATCTCTAATCGATCGACTCTACTGGTCTCCGAAGAACCATAATGCGACCGGGGAGGGCAGGAAACTCAAGGCAGGAAAAGGAAACGGTCAGTCAACGCACCAGTGGATGGTGTCGGTAACCGTCTGGTAACTTCCAGCATGCCCTGGTATTTCCAGACGACCCGGAACTGAAATTACGGCCAGCCTGTGAGACAAACCCGACCAGAGCAGAACAGGACAGGACAAGACAGGACAAGACCACACTCAACTTTCCCCCCTCAACAGGTTCAGGTCATAAGAATCGGCCACCTCTCATGTCATGGCATGTCGTCGTTCTACACACAACCTGAGACCAGGATATTAACATCGTCATTCCATCGCAGAGGAATCCGGCCTACATACATGAAGGACTGATCCTCGCCTTCTCTCCCCCTCCATCTCTTCACGGTTGACATCCTCCAGATTCAACTCTGAAACTAGCATCCACATTCCGTGCAGCAGCAGCAGCTTTCTCACAAGAACTATCGGCTGCCTTATCCCTCAATCGGTATTGATTGCTAGCCTCATTCTTATTATTAGTCTCTTGAAGCTCGACCGTCCCCCTGTATTGGGTCGATTTTATTCTTAAAAGAGAGACATAAAAAAAAGGACTACTATTTTATATTTTTTTTTTTCTCTTTTTCGTTTATTTATCATTTTATTTTTTATTTTTATTTTTTTTTCTGCCCTCCGTCCAAACGCCGCCTCCTCCTTTCCCCTGTGCCTCGTCATAAAATAATATAAAGGACTATTATTTTACCCAACTAGCTCAGGCCGGTGCAAAACAGGCGCGGAAAAAAGTGGATCGATCTGACCCTGAGCACTTCGCTTGGCGCTGGGCTCTGGTAGTATAGATACCTTCCAGTCACTACGTCCCAACCCAGCTCGATTTTCCGGTTACTCCTTTTTAACTCTTCTGCCTATTATTTCACTGTCGTCTGGAACTTGATCTTCCTCCTTCTTGTTGTTCCTTTCACACGTGGTCAATCTCTGCTGCCTACTAAGCTACCAAAGCTACCCGGGCACTGCCAGAACCATACAACGCTATCGCCGTTGTATTTCCGTGTTTTCCCAAGACAATCTAATCGACTCCGCCACCCAGTTGAACGTGCCTAAATAACCACTCATCCTCCCCCTCTTCCCCCCCATTCTCCAAAAACCATTTTCGACCTTTTTCGGTCCCCCATTTTTGCAGAACTTCGGATATCGAAATTGCGCCCAACTTCACTGGTCACCACAAAGCTCATCTTTTTTTCTTTCGAACCCCCAACCGGAGCGGAAAGGAGAAGATGAGCTCTTCCTCGGTGCAAGTTCAACCGCAACCTTCCGGCGCCACAAAGGGGGTCACATCCCCGACAGGCTCGACCCCCGGCTCCATGAATTTCGACATTGTGCGCTGCTCTCGCTGTCAACGATCTATGAGTCTCGAAAACGAATCCTCTCCCGGCGTGGTTCGTTTCGGCATGAATTCCTACTACTGCAGTCGCTGCGCATCCATGGTCGGCTTCATCCGCTGAACCCCTCAAATCGGACTAGCCAACCAACCCACGTTTCTCTGCGAACTCAAGGGAATGAGAGAAGGGACAACAACACTACTACTATCACCGACAAAGCGACCCAATTATTTCGTCCGCTCAACCGCTATCCCAGCTCTATGGTGGGATTCCACAACGGGCGGAGACGAGTGAAAAACCAAAGCCGACATTCGACGTGACAAATGCTGGTTCTACACCCTTTCTTCGCCTCGCCGTTTACTCAACCCAACAATGCATTACTCGGGACCAATGTTACTGTGCTGGCACAGGTTGTTGATTCTTTGTTGTGTCTGATTGAGTGAGGGTTTGCGCATGTTGATCCTGTACACCTGCGTCGCCCGTTTACCCCATATGGATACTAGCTATTGAATCTGGTTGTGTTCCTCGGTGCCCTGCCGATTATTTCGCAAATTGGCGCGATTCATGTGCCGTCGCAAATCAAACATACAACCGCGACTGCAATTATCGAACCTCCTTCCCCCTCCACCCCGCAACGCGCCCTACATTACGCGAATATTAAATTCAGCATGTGGAATTGGAATTTGTACATGGCGCGGGGCCGCGTGGCGGTGTCACCGACCAGGCAGGGGGGGAGGGGCGAGGGGCGAGGGCTGATGATGATGATCATCTCGTTGAGCAGAGTCCCACTCTCCATGCGAACAGCGCTCCGCTCAATGATGATCGTCCAATTCCTTCCATCCCCGCCACTCGCACCATACCGCACCGAGGAATTTTTCTTTGCCGTTGAAATTGGAGATATTATTACTGTTTTGTGAATTGATTTGAAAGAATTGCTTTCCTGCTACCTTAGCCTAGCCTTACTATGATACCCTGTACTTGCTTTATCTTGATTTGTTACTTGGAAAGGGGGGTTATTTGTTTACCACTTTGGATTCTATTGTGTGAAAGACGACACAAATGATCTACATACACCATGCCTTTGTTACCTTCCACTCTCTACTCTTCTAATTTCTGCAATACCAATACACACATATAGTCATATTAGCGAAATCTACCACACTACTACACTACCTACCTACCTACCTACCTACCTACCTACATACATACATACATACATACATATTATAACCACCAACTAAGTAAAATTTGAAAACTGAAACCCTCTCACCCGAAAACCCATCCGGCATGCAAGAATGACAGATCCTTAAGCACAATGATGCAATTAATCCCCAGATTTCAATTCCAATTCCCCATTTCAATTTCCTCCCCCCCCTTCATCATCCTGTGACAAACATACATACATACATACATACATACATAATCCATGCGCCGTGCCAATCGTAATGTAAATCCCGAGAGCTTAAACGCTAATCCTTTCCCCGGGTTAAAGAAAAAGATAGGGAGAGGGGGGGAGAGAGAGGGAGAGACGGGGCGGGATCATCGGCTGGGATTACTTACTTTACTGTAGAGTGTAGATAGGACCTATTACTTTTCAATTTTTTTTAATAGTATATGTTATTATTACTTGCTGAAGGAGGAAAAGGAAGGAATGGACTAATTGGGTAGTAGTGTACTGTGCTGGTGGTGCTCAAGCCACGCGCGTTAGTTATGTCCGGGGCTGAGGAAGGATAGATAGATAGATAAATGGATACAGTAGGGATGGGCTGGGACGCGGGATGATCCCGCTTGTTCGGAATGTGGTGGTTTGCTGGTTTGTTTGTTTCAGGTATTGCTAGTTATCGACATGTCCTACCTGTCTTAAAACTATTTGACTATCTGAGTGGTTTTGGTAGTATTACTTTCTTTGGGTTTTGGAGGTTTGATTTGAAGGGGTAGGTAGTTAGTTACCGTGGTTAGAGGATAGCATAGTCCTATTTTCTCATTTTCTCTCTCTAATTTTTTTTTTCCTTTTTTTTCTTCTCTCTGCTACTGCTCCTTCCTGCCCCTGCTGCTGCTATTATTACTGGTAATTCTGGTCTTAAACGCTGGGCAAAAGAACTAAGAGCACCGGTTCTCAAGCTAGCTCTGACTAGCGTTAAGCGGAGTCCAAAATGTGAGTACTGAGCGTACTCCGTGTTGGGTTAGTAGCATGTAGATACTGAGTCCCTACTAACTGCAATTGTCGGTAGGTGGTAGGTTTTAGTTGGTTGGATTGGTGTCTACCCCGTAGTTCGTGTAATGTCTAAACCCCGTAATTCCTGGGATTTTTTCTCCGTATTTTGGCGCCAAGGAGGGAGGGGGGGAAGCTGAACCCCCCCTCTTTCGTCTTCTTTCCTCCATTCCTTTTCGTGTTTTTTCCCCGACTTTTGAGCGTGACGACAACCACAAGCAAACAACGACGGTAAAGTCCGTATACTAGGTATTACATGGGGGGGTCCGTCCACGGACCTTTTACCCCTCCATTGTTTCCTTTCCCTTTGCCCACCCACCCCTCTTCCTCCTCCTCCCCCTTACAGTGATGGGACATTAGCCTGGTTGCCTGTAACACGGACACGTAAGTGTGAGCAAAGTACTCCGTAAGTACTTTGGCGTTGCCCCGCATAAGAGACGCCGTGATCGGTTCGATGGCAGGTGTCTTGTCACGCTTGTGTTGTATCAGAAGTTCAGAGCCCGATTCGAACCCCGAGCGAGTCAGGGACAGCAAATCAGCCGTCTGGGATAATGGAGATCACTCACATTAAACTAGCTTTTGCTTTTGCAGACTAAGATAGTTAGTCAACAAAAGAGAGGAAATTCACGCTGGATTACCTAATGGAGGTTGTGACGGGCGGCCCTTCAAGCCACACCCGAAAGATTGCTTGACCGACCCCTATTGTGGTGTCGGCAATGGTGGGTGTCGCTGATCAGTGGGTCGTGGCTCATTTCAGTCGTGGGTTTGGCCTCGTTTCATCGTCTCGTCTACTTTGCTCGGGGTCCACCGTGCTATGGTGCTAGTATCGGGGTTAGCACTGAGCGAGCGATGGAAGGAAAACACCTGAAGGGGACGGGAGAAAGCCTCAGGATTGGCTTACTGCAATGGGTGGCTGTGCGCTGGAGAGCTCAGATAATCAAGTAGATGGTGTCACCCACTGTGAAGGCATCATGTGCGCGCATATGTGCGTGGTACTGTATAAAACCTCAAGTATTGCAGAACGGTCTGCCCGATGTCATGGTCGGCAGACGATTTATCCCATGGTCACCGTGTCAGCGGAAATGTCAGATAATCCCCGAGTGAGCCTCGATAGGTGACAGGAATGGCATTGCCAATTGCGATCCAGTCGGTGGCTGCTATGTCCCATTGCATGTGACAGGTAGAGCTCGTTCCTCAGAGCTCCGTTCCATGGTAGTTCTCTGAATCTAGTGAGTTGTTGTCCTGAGGAATCGAGGGCGATCGACCGGATCTCCCAATTCGGCCAGTCTCAGTCAGGAAGGTAAGTCATGACTTCGAGATTCAGTATCACAGCAACGTTACGACCCAAAGAAACCAAGCAATAATCTTATATTTTCGCTCCACAGCAGAACAGCGGTTACGCCCCGTAGCTACGATCACAAGAGATCCCATCTTCACATCATCGGGGTCTCACGCAGACATGGAAGAGGTCGTAGTGTTCAATAGTCCGCAGACTACTGTGCTGCTCATGTATGTAATCGGCAAGCGCGACCAGGCACGGAGCGACAGGACATTTTAACCTCCTCGTACGGCAGTGACACGATCAAAGCTTAGTCGTTCCACGCGACCGAGACCGGTAAGTAAGTAATCCACCAGGAACATCCAGCGTCTTCCCTGATCGGGAATATGAAGATTTTAAGATGGTCCCGTCTCAAGTGGAGAGAGAGATCTTGAGCCAGCCACGACGGTTAGCATCTTCTAGTCTAGCTTCAAGTTTTTTAGGTCCCCGGGATCCCGATGGGTCATGACTTTCTCGATACCTTCTAGATTGTTCGCCTCGTTGGGTATGGAGTCATCAACGAGTACTTGCTAGTGGGAGATCCATTCAGAGCCGCGGGCCCGTGGGCGGAGGGCGAGGGCGAGGGCGAGGGCGTGCCTAATCACCTACTAAAGTCTACTAATGTTGTATGGGTCGATCGTCCGACTATCGATTTTTAGCGGAGTTTCTGGGGGAAAGTAAGCTAGATAGTCTGTGATCTGCCGCCATGATCGTGACTCAGCCAGGCTTCATCAAATGGACAAACACACACTCAAATCATTCACACTCATAGGCGAGATCTAAGGCGACTGAAGCAGACAACCAGCTCTACTTGATTCGGAAGAGTCAAGGTTCCGGCGCGGACAGATTAGACTCGGATTGCAGCGGCTTATCTCGGCAGTTTAATTCAGTGCCTGGCGTTTTAGAGGGGCTTCCCTGATAACTCTCTCCCTCTCTCTCTCTGTTCTACATTTCTTTTCTTTTTTTTTTTTTTTTTTTTTTTTTTTTTTTTTTTTTTTTTTCAGCTGTAGGTTCCCGTAAATGGGATCCGATGACATCCTCATCCACTTTCAGCCCTCCCATCCTATTGCTCCTAGTCTCACCTCACCAAACCACATTGGTCGCAGCGGTTACCGGAGCCTGACGCCTGCTGCCCGGGCGTTAGTTGGTGTCTCCCGTCCAACGCTTCCCGGTGACTGACCAGACTTTCTAACAATATACGGCCAGCTGCCGTGTGACATTCTTTTGGATGTATCGCTCAGCGCCGGCGGTGACTGGAGTGGCAAGGTTTCGATGCATGGAGTGGACAGGTACTCCCGGGCGGCAAGACCACCGGACCTATTTAGGCGATGACTGCGACTGTTGTTGGAAATGGATACCTCATATGCAGGTGGCTTCAGGGATCACCCCGGCCGAATCTGGGTGGTCCCAGAACCGAATCAAGGGGCAAGGCTGGATCCGACTGGGGAGATGCAAGTTGTTCAATAGGCTGCTTGAGAAGCTCGCTTGCTTGGGTAGTTACTCTACTCTGGCTGGTTTGCTGTTGCTGCCTTTCATTTCGTTTTGATCTCTGCTGCGATGCATTCCTGGATGACTATTTGGGGAGACATGGGATGAGACCGAGACAATTAACCCGAACTTACTAGTGCAGCAGCAATGAGAGGCCTGATGAGAGAGGAGGGAAAGAGGTGGGGAGAGGTCAGAGTCTGGGTGAAGATGCTGCAGTCTTTGTCCTTTCATGATCAGACATGAGACAAGTCCGACTGTGTAACTCCACATCCCCATTCCAGGGCTGAGGTTATTCTATTTTTGCTTACAGTGCTGCTTACTTAGTATGATGAAGGTGACCCAAGGGATGCGAAGGAACAGCAGGACAAAAAAAGAAACATCTTTTTCCGTATCGCATCAGCTGTCTGCTAACTTAATATTCGATCTCTACTTATTTTGGTTGGCTGCCCTTCTTTGAGGGGAAATATTGCTGGCCACCACAGGGCTGACCGCTGGTAAGGATGATGATGATGAGGAGGAGGAGGATGATATTAACGGAAAAGCACACTGCCATTTGCCTTTCAGGGCGATGCAGGGCGGATGGTCCACCATCAACTCTTTTTTTTTTTTTTTTTGTTTTTTTATTTCTCCGTCAGCAGCAATTCTTGGTATAGTTCTAATTAATCTATTTGTTTTAGTATTATTCGAGACCAATTCTTTCGTACTTGATTGACTGGACAGGACAGAGACCTTGTTGTTGTTGTGGCTGCCCTGAGATCTGGCGGTGTAACCCTGTCCGCCAAGCGTGACGTACTCGAGTGTATTGGAATGAAGGCGGCGGATGAAGAGGAAAAGGTGTGATGAGTGATGAGTTATGAGTCCGTGGAGGTTATTTTGAAGTTGGTGTTGAAGAGTACGATTCAAGGAAAGGGCTGGATCCATGATGTTGGGTTGGATTCTTGTTGTTGACGACTGTGTCCATTCTCATCGTCATTTACTTTCCGATCTTTACCAATCAATCATTGCAGCTTTAACTCGAGGATATACTTCAAGTGTCTCTCTCACTGCTTCTCTACTAGTCTCCAACAGTACTTTTTTCCTGGTGCTACATGAGCAGTACCGGCTGCTAGTTAGTTCAATCTCACGCAGCACACTATGTGAAGAAATCATTAACTTTCCTGCTACAAATAGAAATCTCTCAATTATTTCATCTTCAACTCACTGGCTCTGATTGACAGAACTGGCTGACTGAATGACTGGTTTTTAGTTTATGCCCAGCAAGTCAGTCAGCCATCATACAGCAACTAATCAATTAATCAACTAACTATATTTATTTTTTCTTTTCTTTTTTTCAAAGTTCATTTCATTTCATTTCTCCCCCCATCTTCTCATTCAATCATTCTTTTACTCATCCACTAACTACTAACTAACTTGGTTCTTTCTTTTTTCCTCTCATCTGGTTTTTTTGACTCCATCACTTTATTCGGCCATTCAAGCTCAATAGTGAGTCTCCGTCTTTTCTTATCCATCACTGTTGATCATGCATGACATATCATCATCAGCCTGCTTGGGCCCCCGTCCTCTTTCGATCCCTCGACTGCGATCACTACCACTACCACTACCACCACCACCACCTTCTCCTCTCAACTGCCTCTGCCAGTGCTCCCAAATTGACCCATCCCAGTCTCCTCCAGGCATCAGGCCCGTAATTCTCTCGCAAGCCCTCCAGCACCAACTGCGCCCCCTTTTAATTCGTCAGCGGATGCATCGGTGGCTTTCGTCTATTTTCCTTCTGCTTCCTGGCCTCGTTCCACTAATCTTATCCTCACGGGTCCTACTGTCCTCTCCGTTTCCACTCCCTCGGACATTCTTACTGCCTTTGCTATTCTTGTTTTGGCCCTCCTTACTCTATCTGCTGCTGCTGCTGCTTCAGCACTGGCCTCAACACTTTTCGCCTTCGGTGGGCCGCTTTCGATGTAGGAGGTCGATCAAGCCTCGGGCGCTTGTCTTCCAATCTTGACATAAAACCCACGAAGCACTGGTCCTCGATCTTTTACATTTTTCCTGTGAATCGGTTTCTTTTCTTCAAAGCGTACCTGATTGTTCCGAATAGCGATCGGGGTCTGCAAAGGACGAACCAGTAAGCATAATCCCCTTGGGCATCATTGGTCATACTACCCAAGTGTGAGACCGTCAGACCAAACCCCGATACTTATATTCTAGCGTCTAGGTCACTACCCCCCCTGCTAACCGTGTCCATCCTGCGCATTGAAGCTTAAAATCATCGGAAATAGTTCTTTTGTCAGAAGATCACAGGCTTTAAGCTCACGGGGTCCACCTACTCTTCATCCATTCTCCGAACATTCAGGGGATCTGACATATCGATCCTTACTATACCACACTATCATGCCTTTCCCTCCACGCGAGAAGGGCCGGATGGCAAAATCCGGGAGGTCAGAAGAGGAATTCGTTCTATTTCTTCAGGGAGTATGTTCTCGCACGTGGTTCATCCTATACTGGCGACCTTGTCTAACCCTGGGTGCAGATACCGGCACACTGTCGCTGGCAAGAGCTCAAGGACCTAGTCCGCCAGACAGCCTTACATATCCGTCAAGCTGTGGTCTACGATGACCAGCATGGATTCCCAACCGGTCTTGGCCAGATCATTGTGAAGAACGAAGACGAAGCATGGCGGACCTACCGTGCGTAATGGAACCCAAATAGTTGAAACTAGCTGACAGTATGTTTCTAGATAGGCTATCTACGAACGGCTGGGAAGGCCAGAGTCTGGTTGTCACATTAGCACGAACCAGCTCACCTACACGACCAATTGCCGGGCCTACGAAGAGTCCAACCTGCATGATCCCACCCAACTATGTACCAGGCTACTCGACTCCGCCACGATCAACACAAAACATGGCAGTGCCTCCGTCTCCCATTTCACCCGAGTAAGTACAGGAAGTGCATTCCCTTCCTCAGGCTCAGGCGATGACTGACAACTCATAGACCCATCGTATCCGGCAGTCCCAACTGCCCGACATATCCAACCACTGAATACGGCCCCATGGTCCATCCCCTACCAATGCCTCAGCAGCCTTTCATGCCTTTCCCTACAGATCCAGTCACACAACAGCCCATAACAGGCATCCCACCGTCGCCCGCTCCTCTCCGCCACTCCTTTGGCGACGCCTTTGCTGTTCCCTTTCTCCCCACATATTCTTTTACTACCACGCCACCGTTCCCTGACACCCCAGCACATGGTGGCGGCTTTAGTCTACCCGGACGTCGGGCCCACATGTCCGGCAAAGCTTCTTACGGCTACAACCCGGCGTTCGCGCCGCAGATCTACCACACCGGGGGCCCAGGCCCCCGTTCTTCCCCACGACGAACTATATTCGTGCAGAACCTCAGTCCCACCACCACCGACAAGCTCCTTCGCGCCTTTATCGAAGAAAGCGGCGCCACAGTGGAGCAATCAGAGGTGTCCACGGACCCTGACACCGGGCGCTGCAAAGGCTTCGCGCGGATAACCCTGCGCACAGCGGATGAAGCCAAGCGTGTTGTAGCGCAGTACCACGGAATCAACTTCATGGATGCGAAAATCCGCGTCAAGATTGACCGGAGTCTTCATTTCGCGTACAGCCTGACCCGCGAGAGACACGCCGGTACGGTCCCATTAGCTAACACGAACGGTTCGGTCGCAAAGAACCAAGGACCATATGGTCCTAGCAACAACAGCAGCCCGAGGTCATCGTCGCTGTCTTCGTCGACTTCAGCGTCGTCCAAATCGGGCGAGCACTGCGGGCCTCTGGTTGTTAATGGGTCGAATACTGGGACCAAAGCAGTGGCTACTTAGCCGCAATGCATTCCTTCCACTGCATCACTAGTTGTGACAAAGATCGCATTGACTGGCTAGCCAAGCCTATAGTTGTTATTCGATATACAGATATACTATTATCATCATCAATATTTTACTGCAGAGGGTAAGGTCGGGATAGAACGGGATCATGGGGTTGGGTTCACTATTATGTTTGATGGGCTCTGGTATTGGATGTGATCATAGTTATACGTGCATGATCTTTTCTCTCATATCTCTCTACTTAACTGTGAGGTTTCCAATGACTGAGAACTACGGCGTCGAGGAGGGGGGCGTTTAACGGGGTTTACTGAACACAAAACACACTCAATACATACATTTACATAGATAGAATGATTTAAGTTGATTTGGCTAAAAGTTTACTCCCTACTTCTATTAAATCAAAATTCAATCAATATCTGAAAAAAAGGGCATGATGCATTCAATCAATTTCATCATTTCACTCATGAGTCATCCATCTCATCGCATCTCATCTATCTGACTAACTGACATAGTCAAGTCAGCTTTAAATAACATGGTCAATCAATCAATCAAAAAAAAAAAAAAAATCAACATCTCCAAGTAGAATACATCCCCATCCTCGTCAATCAATCAATCAACTTCTCCTATATGCTGTCTTTCTTTCTTTCTTTTTTTCCTTTTTCTCTACCTTTTTCCATCTTTTTCTTCATGTGTCAGTCAGTTCCATCAATGATATCATGCCCTCATAACAATCAATAATACATACAGTAATGGTAGTCAGTGGGTTAGGTTAGTAGGTTAGTTATCATGAGAAAGGGGGGAAAAAAAACAACAAAACGCCAGAAATTGTTCAAAAAAAATATAAAAAAAATGACAAAAAGGGAAAAGAGAAGAAAATGTAAAATACAAGTACAAAAAGGTAAGTACGAGACGTCTCAATTAGGTCATCGTTAGATCCGGCTCGTACGTGAGAAACTGAAAAGGGTAATATAAGTAGCGTAGTAGGTTCAGGTAGGGGAGACGGAAAGACGGATGGCCGGACGGGACGGACACATTAGTCCCAATTCGGAATATTGTTTTGGGCCTGGGTCTGGGTCCGGGTCCGTGTGGTGGTAAAGTGGTAGGTGGCGAATTCGGTGGGTTAGGTGGTAGGTGGTAGGTAGGTAGGGTTGATTTTCGTGGCTAGCTAGCTGGCTGGCCGTAGCTGAAGTCGTAGCTGTGTTCCCTGGCTGGCTGACTAGTAGCTAGCTGGAAAACAGGGAAGAGAACATGTCATCATTTGGCATGGTCGATTAATTCAGCGTACAGCGGCTCGGGGATCTTGCGGACGATTAGGACCGTCAGGGCGATGATCTCTTTGGCGTCTAGTGGTGGGAAGGATCGGAGGATTTTGTTAGGACTGTGGATGGGTCGTTAGCGCTGTTACCTCACTTCACATGTTCTCTGAAATGTCTGCTGCGGGCTTTGTTTTGGGTTTGGGGGCTATCATATCGTGCCCAGGAGATTTATCCTCTCAGAGGGAGCTGTGTGTCGGGGCTGTGTTCTGAGGGGATGTGATTTGTCTTGTTTATCCCCGTTTTTGTTTTGTTTTTGGTGGTATGGTATTGCTTTTTCGAGGGGACGAGGCGGACGAGGAAAGAAGAAAACATGAAAAGGGGGAATGAACAAAGGTAGGAAAGGGGAAAGGCAAAGAAAAGAAAAAAAGGAAACATACCTCGGACTTTCCAGGATCGTGTCCCTCATTCGAATTAATTGCGCCACGATACACAAGATATTTAGATGTGTTCCGTACGCGAACAAAAAGTCCCAAAGATGAAGCACTTCCGGAAGAGGAGGCGTGCACGCGCAGAGGGTCAACACCGACGGAAAGGCATAGAGTTTCGCCTGTAGGCCCTTAGAGAAGAGGTAGGCCGCTAGTTTGGGCTCAACGATCTCTAAACATTGATCGACCAAGCGCAGTCCCCGATGAACCCCATCCATGGCGCCGCGGATGTAACCCGGACATTCGCGTGTAATAAACGAGTGAAACAGGGCAAAGGCCTCGACTTCGCTGCGGGCGGCGTAGAGGAATGGAGCGCAGAGCACATTCATGCCTTGGACGTAGATCGCTGATTCATTTGTAATCCCGCTGCTGCCGCCGCGACTGCTGGCAACACTACCTGGTGTTCCAGATGGGGAGGGCTCTTCTTCAATGCTCGGAGGTGTGTTGATCAAAAGCTCAATCTCTCGGAGACGTGACGAGGGACGCGATCGCGATCGGTATTTATTCTTTGCATCGTGAAGTTTCCATGCGACAGCGTTGAGAAGCCGGATCAGGCTGGCTTCCGTAACGCGGCGTTTGAATAGGGGGTCTGTGGCCATCGTGCGGAATGTGTCATTGCGGATTTTGGTGTAGGCTGGGGAGCGACCACGGTGGATAAGGGAGAGGTATTCGTCGGTTGGAACGGGAGAAACATCGAGAAGGACGAGCCAGAGGTAGATTCGGTAAGTGGACTGTCGCGATAGTGTTAGTGAACGTGTGGGCTCTTGATTCCACGAGGGGCAGAAAGAGCACGAGGGAGAGCGGGCTATATACCATGCCATCCGCGTCTGCTTCAACTCGTGTCGAGAGAACGAGGTACCGGAGCTCCTGGAGACCCTCCTGAAGGTTGCCCTGGTGCGGACCGTCCCGGAGGAGAGTCTCCAAGACCGAGCGCTTGATTCCAAACCCAGAACCCGTCTTTCTAGCCGATCGCTTTTGAGTTCCTATCGCAGGGGCCTCCCGAGACGAGGCATCGCTGTTGGAGCGCGCCCGGCGTTGCGAGCGCAGTCGCACGGGCGAGTCCAGCTGAGGAGGTTGGGCGAGCTCCTCGGCGCCAGCAGACAAGCGCCCCGACGGCGGATGATGAGCAGAAGAAGGTGGGTGAGATGAGAGGATTTGGTGAGACTGGATCTTGCGCAAGCCTCGCATGGTCCGCGGTGAAGGTGACCCAGCCAGAGCAGCGAGATTAAGCTGGGCCTGGGTGGGATGAAAGGACGAGGGAGAAGGAGAGGACTCGGAGGGCGCCATGCTGGGCTGGGCTGGGCTGGGCTGGAGGAGTGGAGGGAGAGAAAGAGTGGGCTCTGCTGCAGGTGTGACGGACAGACGCTCGATTGGATCAGCAAGGATTGGGGTTGGGGGTCTGCATCTGGCGCAGAGATACAACCATCTTCCTTGAACCTGGAATCAAAGAAGGATAGGAAGATGATCCATGAATATTATAATGACAATAATGATAGACAAAAAAAAAAAAAGGAAAAAAGAAAAGGAGCCTGGAGAAATTTATATCACGTAAGAGTAAATAATAACTAGGAATGGAAATGGGGAGAATGAATGGTTGGAGAGAGAAACGACGCCGGACGGATGCAAGAAATCAATGGCTTCTTAGGGGGTTCTGCTGCAGCTTGGGATCATCACTAATTTTTAGTGTCTCTCTCTTTCTCTCTTTCTCACTCTTCAGAGTTTCAATCTGATGGCGGGCCTTTTTTTGCCGACGGACGGAATGCGGGGACACGCGACGACGCGAGCGAAAAAGCTCAGTTGCCATGGGAAATTCCTGGCCTTAATCCTCGCGGGCCCACGAGTCTTATCTTGTCTGGTCCTTCGCCCTGTCAACTTTATTTCCATCGTGACATGTTCCTGGCTGGCTGTCATGTTTAACTTTCCGCAGATGGAGCTGCCCTGAAAGGTATCTACATGGTGTTGCTGGTGTATTTGTTGTTGTTGCTGCTGTTGTTGTCTCTACGGAGTTCCAAAAATTGCAGGTCAATGGCTGCCAGAGCCAGTCGGGTTCCCTAACTATCGGTATCCCTCCTCATCCGAACGCCGTTACCGAACTATAAGCAATAATTCCCACTCCGCCGTTGCGGCTATCTACTAGGCGTCGCGGCGATTCGTCGATCCATTCTCTGTCCCTCCCATGATTCCACTGACAAAGTCCTGGTATCGGAATACCTCCCCCCTCTTACCTCCGCCCGTTGCCCGAGCACCTTTCCCACCAAATGCTCGGCGTCCCGTAAATCCACTGAGTACCTCATTGATCTCCCGGTCGCTTAGCGGATGGTCTCCGTCCTCGGACGCTGTATGTAAGAGAGCATCGCGCAGCTCGTCGACGTCGATCTGACCGCTATCGTCCTCGTCAAAGGCCGCTAGGGCATTCATGAGCTCTTGGCGGGAAGAAAGAGGGGCGAGCAGCTGTGAGAGGGTATTGAGAAAGGTGGGGAAATTCATAGTCTGGGGACCCCCCAGAGGGAAGAACTTGGAAATGGCAGTCGGGTCTTGGCCTGTCGAGCAGCATTGCGTCAGTATCATATGTCATCGCCCTAAGATGATCGACTAGCTAGTCTTTAGCTAGCCTTCTTTTACATACCCACGTTCGTAAGCACATCCGCCACGTCGTCCTTATCTACCAAACCATCGTTATCTCGGTCCAGAACTTGGAAGGCTTCTCTGATTTCCCGCAGTTGTGCCGGGGGAAGTTTGGCTGCGGCATCAGATGACGCCGCCATCATGTTCGTGGCTTTGGCTTCCATCAACGACGGCGACGAATCCGGGGCATTGGCGCCCCTCGTTGGCGAGGGGGGCGCCTCTCGTGTGAATCGGGGCTGCGCAATGGGACTCCTGGGCTTGCTTTTGGGTGATGAACCGTCATCTTCCTCGACTGTGTATGATTCCTTGAGTTTGCTCGGAGACTGGACCGGGGTGTATCCGCGACCGGGGGAACTGCCAGGGGTGCTTGAACGGCCTTGAGGAGGGGAGTTGGGCGTGGAAGGACGGCGAAAAGGGGAGGGTCGAGGGGAGCCAAATGATAATGGCGATGGCCTGAAGGGGCGTTGGAGGAGACCTGTAGATACGGCGGTGAGCGGAGTGCGGAGGGAGGAAAATGGGAGGATGAGTACTTACCATGCTGGATTAAACAATGTGGAGAATAAATATGACGATGATATGCAACTGTACAAAATCCCCTATCAGATTGGGGGGATCACACACAGCAAAGAAGGATCAAGAGGGGAAAAGATGGCAGGATAGAATGGGGGATGGAGATAACCATTCATACATAGTTCCCAGAAGGGGAAAGGCAGCCAAACAAACAACAAGGCATCGGGGGTTCAAGTCGGGCCGAGACGGAGGGGGCACGTGCGGGGCCCAAGAAAGGCAAGAAGCGGCAGTTGCTGCAAGTCTGAAGTTCCCTCAATCGAATTGCACGGAGAAAGAGATCCGATCGTTGGCATCTTCTCTATTATTATCATCGATCTAAAACAATCTACCATCTGGTGGTCTAGATCTCATGGCCTAGATCTCCCGTGTTCATTGCACGTCCCATTGCAATTACTCTTACTTCCCACCCCCCAACTGCATGCATTGAGGCCATGGCGGTCGGTGGTGCTGGTTTGTCTCCCGTCGCCTTTCCCCGCTGTGGAGATCATCGTCGGTGCGTGGGCTTTGGAGGCTCTCGTCCCCTTTCTTTTTCCCCTGAGTCTATCCCGACTAATCCTCCGATCGACGAACCTCTCTTTCCCCCCCCCCCAAAGTCCGCCCTGGCTCATGATCCCCGACAATGACTGACAGTTCGACAGTATCAGTTGCCTGAGTCAGGTCGCCTCGGTTTTCTACTGGGATTAATTGATCGAGTATGCTGCTATTATCGTTATCCTCGTGCTCATTGTTCGCCGGTCCTCTGGAGCTATCACTTGCCACCCCCGATCCGCTCTCGATCTGAATGACCCCCGTGCCCACCTCGACCCCAAGTTCTCCGGCCAGAAAATGAGCATCTCACTTCCCTACCGACCTACTGACGATTCCACCCTCTCGCTTGCGGCCACCACCAATCCTTCCAAGGCCAATGGCCATCCCCGCCTCTCCCCTTCCCCTTCCATCATCCACCGGCGCACCCCCAGTAGTTCGGGGAACTCGGCGCGCCGTCGCTCGCTGGGCAATGGTCCCTCTGCTCTCTATCCCAAACCGCGACGATGCAAATCGCAATACCCCCGAGATTCGCCCGAGCGACATGTCGAGTACATCCTCGTGGCCTCGTTCCACATTGACCGTGGCCCGATCATGGAGCATCAGTATCCCGCTGCAATCAGTGGCGACGAGAGTATGCTAGCGGAGCTGATGCTTCCCGATCAGACGCATGTTCGGAGTCAAGACTGGACGATCTTCTTCCTACATAAGGACACGAGCGCGGATGCCGACGAGGACGACGACGCCAGTACCGGCAAGAAAAAGAAGAAGAAAAAGAAGTCCCGGATAGGGGATGCGGAGAGCGGCGACGGGGATAGCGAGGATGTCGACGGGTCAACCGAAGAGGAGAGCAGCGACGAAGAAGAGGGTGGCGAGGGGCCACCCTTGATGTATGTGCTCAACCTTGTAAATACGAAGCAAGATAATTCCGTCAAGCGGTATGTCCTTCCATGGGTTTCCGGCTGCCTAGTCAATACTGAACAATCACAGTGGTGCCGTTGTCAAAGCCATGGCGATTTGTACGCGACATTCTTTCCTACATATATATAAAGTATGTTCACCCAGTACAGCGCATGTGGTTGAGCTGACCGGCCACGATAGCCTCTACTTCTCCTAGCCCTGGAGGATTACTTCAAGAACCCCTACCCCGAGACGCTCGCATCGTTATACAATGCCGTGAACGCCATGGACCTGTCGTTGATGCCCAGGCTATCTCTTTTAGAGCGATTAATCTTGCAGGCGAGCAATTGCAAGGATATGTTCATCGAGAAATTTGAGCAGATGATCTACCAGCGACAACTCGAAGACGGGACGCCTTTCGACGACGAGCCCCCATCCCCGAAAAGGCCGGCCGCCCCTCGATACACGCTACCCCGAGATACCCACGAGTTTGAGTCTAAGATCGTCTACAACGACATTCCTATTCCTGTCAAGGTGCCAACGGTCATTTGGCCGGAGGTTGTGGGCGACTTTTCCCTCGTCAAGCTCATCCAGATCTTTTCTACTCCGCATGCGGCCTCGCCACAGCCCTTTCCCATCCACCCCCACCTCACCACGAGCGGGCCCTTTACCCATCCGATCATTGTCCTCGTCAACGCCATGCTGACTCAGAAGCGTGTGATATTCCTGGGGCATAACCGCCCTTCAGGCGAGGTGGCCGAGGCAGTGTTGGCGGCGTGCGCCCTTGCGTCGGGCGGTATATTGCGCGGCTTCACCAGACATGCGTTCCCGTACACCGATTTGACGAAGATCGATGACCTACTGAGGGTCCCTGGTTTCATTGCCGGCGTGACAAATCCTACCTTTGCCAACCACCCCGAGTGGTGGGATGTGCTCTGCGACCTGCCCACGGGCCGAATGAAGATCAGCAGCCACATCGAACCGGCCCCTGTTACCGAAGGACTCTTGTACTTCCAGCAGCAAGCTGCCATGAACCACCATCCACCGCCGAGTAACAATTCAGATCCGAGTGGGGACAATGTCTTTATGGAGGAGGTGCAGCGCAGCATCACCAACCGATACGGCGAGAATGCCATCCGAGCGAAGTGGCGCGCCTATATCACCAAGTTCACCCGTGTTGCTGCTGCCTTCGAGGAGACGGTCTACGGGGCGTCCAATTTGTATGTTATCGGGCCCAACGAAGAGCTTTCGCCCGAAAGCCCAAGCGGCCTTCAGGCAGATCCGCTTGATCCGACAACGCTCCGCGGACACGGTTACGTGTGGCCAGACGAGGGCTCCAAGCAACGCGAGCTGATGGCGTCGGTGGCAAGGATTGAAGGCTGGCGGACGACGCGATCATATTACTCCTTTATTCAAGACATTGCAGCCATGTATTATCCCTCACGGCCGATTCAGAAGCCAGACCTGCATCATCATCATGACCGGCTACGGGCGCTGAGGCTGCCGCCGGCCGATGCGGGGGCGATCTACATCTCATTTGCGCATGCGGTCAAGGACTACGCAGGCATCTGCCAGCTTTTGACCGTGACTCCGGAGAACCAAGCGGGACTCTTCTACCTCGGCATGGGACTGTTCCACCCACACCAGCCGGTTCGCGAGGCAGCGGTCGATCTCCTGGAGCGCATTGCGGCGCATCCGGCAGGACGACACTTTTGGGCGCAGCTCAACCGGTTCACCAAGCTGGCCTTCTTCCGGATCAAGCGGGAGAGAGACGCATCAACGCAGAGCCCAGCGTCAGGCTTGGGGAGTGAGAGCTTCGGGCCTCAAAGCCTGGTAGGTGTAGCGCTGGGCGACAGTTTTCGACGAAGTTAGCAAACCGACAGTAACCCCCGGATTATTCGTATCATGAAATATGTGACGAGATGATATAGTGGCCCCCACATTTTGATATTCTTCTGCACTGTTTGATATTTATTTGCCTACGGGCTGGATATACCTGGTTTTGAATAAGATATTATTTCATATTTCCATATACCTTCAAAACTAAAGCGAGAGTGGTGAATGAGTGAGGTGTAGATAAGAGAAATTAAAGTATAGACATTAGAAATATCCCTCCATATGTAAAAAAAAAAAAAACATAACCATATCACATCACATATATTATCATACCCCCATGATCACCCATCCAACACTCCACCCCACCACCACCACCAACCCCAACCCCAATCCACCCCTCCAATCCTTCACACCACCACCACCTCCAGCACCACTACTAACCCTATCCCCAACCACCCCAACTGTAACATTAACATCCGCAAACCCCTCCCCACAAACCCCGTCCACCCCCTTCGCCGTGGGCAAATAACTCCCCGCCAGCGGCTGCCCATTCACACTCGCATACTCCTTATACACATTCAAAGTGGCCTGCAAACACTCATTACAGGTCGGCCAGGGCTTAGTCGAAATCGCACTCCCATACGGCACGAAATACACATCATAGTCGACGGCATTCGTGGTATTCGTAACCGCATCCACGAAACAATAGTTATTTGTTGTGGGGGACTGCAGGCAGGTGGCGCGGTAGATGGGCGCGTAGACGATCAGGTCTGTGTAGAGGGATACCACGGCTTGGTTGCCTGCGTTGTAATCGTGCAGGCAGGTCGAGGACTGGAGGAGGGAGGTGGCGAAGGTGGTGAGGGCGGTGCTGCAGGTGGAGAGGTCTGAGGCGCATGCGGTGTCGAGGATGGAGGAGGTGGTTGGGGCGGAGGTGAGGGCGTGGAAGAAGGAGGTTGAGTCGCGGAGTAAGAGGGAGATGGCGTGGCAGGTTGTTAGGGTCGTGTTGGTTAGGAGGGTGTGGAAGAAGGTGGAGCAGGTGGTTGTGGTGAAGTTGTTGGTTAGGGAGGTGTCGAAGGCGGTTGGGAAGGATGAGGTTGTGGTGGAGGTAGTGTCGGTGGATATGGAGGTGTTGTTGTTGGTGGTGCGGGGGTGGAGGGTGAGGGTGGTGGTGGTGAAGATATCTGGTGATAGTTGTTGGTCTGTGGTGGTGGTATGTGCTGCGGAGTGATCCGCATTGACGATCTCTCCGCTGCTTATTTCTGCGTTGGATGGAAGCACGGATCCTAGTACGGATGGGAGGGCGAGTAGGGTTAAGAGAAGGAGTGATCGTTGGTGTTGGTGTTGGTGTGGTCGTGCTGGGCGTGCACGCGGCGTGTAGATGGATACCATGGTGGTGATGGTCGATTGGATCTCCTTAATGAGGGACTAGATTTTAGATGAAGAGAGAGTGTGTATATAGACGGCAAAGAAATCAAAAGGAATGTGGTTATCCAATTACATGGTCTTGGGATGGCTGCTCGGTGGCAGGGCAAGGGGGTTGGAAGGATGGATTAGGGCACTTCAGGATGGGAGAGGGCAGCTTTAATCTAAACCTTGAGGCTACTGTACTACAACGGGAACAATCACACAACGAGAGTAAAGCCATGGCACATTGTGGACAAGACACACACACGAGCAGGGTCAGGGGCGTGCCTGACGGAGTGAGCCGTGCGCCAAAGAGAAAAAACGGGCATAATTGGTATAGGCTGGATGGAACAGTCGAGACTAGACCGACGGGCAAAGAGTCTGGACCCCTCAGGGTTTATTCTTAGCAGGGCAACTGATTGGACTCCTTGCTCCTAGTACAAAGCAAAAGAGGACTTTTCACAAGTCAATGAGCATAGCGGACAGTTCGGTTATTCTGCCTGTTGTGTTCTCGTCTGAAACTGGCGCCACCAGAATTAGCGTCATGACTGACTCGAGGAGTGTAACAGCTATTCTTATCACTCCGAACCAGAGAACTACTACTATTCAGATAGAAGATAGGAAAATAAACTGCCGGATGGAAATCCCTTAATAAGATAATTCAAAAACTCCCGAGGGAGCACGGGCTGCACGCCGGCCCCGTGGGCCAATCAACAACGCGGCAAACCCAGGAGGTTCCACCTCGCCTATCGCCGACCCAAAGGAAAGAATGACATCGAAGTTCCCTTCCTTGCCCGCCTGCTCCTCTTCTTCTCCTCCACCCAGCTCCCCTTCATTTCATCATGTCCGCCGATCTTCTCGTCCCTGAGACCAGGGTCTTGGCCGTCGCCAGCCATGTATGTTTTCCCCCAACCATATGGATGTACCCCCCATGGTACCTACCCCCAATGCATTGCTGACAAGGGTCTAGGTTGTCTACGGGTATGTGTCATATCTGATAACACCTCCTATCTATCATGATGTCTCGTCGCATCCAATTCCTGCCCATACTGACGGATCAGATATGTGGGCAATAAGATGGCCACTGCGGTCATGCAGCTCATGGGCTGTGATGTCGCCGCCTTGAACACGGTGCACTTCAGTAAGCAGCCATATATCATATATGTAATCATCTACTAACCAAGTTTCAGGTAACCACACCGGTTATAGACAGTTCAAGGGCACTAGGGCCACGGCAGAGGAGATCACCGCGCTCTATGAGGGTCTCACGCAGAGTAACCTGCTTGATTTTGATGTCATGCTCTCTGGCTATGCGCCCAGTGCAGCTGCCGTTGAAGCCGTCGGGGCCATTGGCATGGACCTCCAGCGCAAAGCGGAAAAGAATCCCGGTTCTTTCTTCTGGGGTGAGCTGCCCTCTCTCTCTCTCTGTTTTAAAGTGGTGGCAGTAATAACCATGCGCAGTCCTGGACCCCGTAATGGGCGACCAAGGCCGTCTCTACGTCAACGACGACGTCGTTCCCGCCTACAAGAAGGTCATCCGCCACGCAGACCTTATTCTCCCCAACCAATTCGAAGCCGAGTAAGCCATCCCTTTATCCTTACTTCTGCTGCTCCCTCTAACCAAAGCAGAGTCCTCTCCGGCATCAAAATCACCTCCCTCGCCACCCTCGCTGAAGCCATCACCGCCCTCCACGCCATCTACAACATCCCCCACGTGATCATCACCTCCGTGCAAATCGCCAGCCTTTCCGACTCTCCTCTCCCCAACACCCTCACCGTCATCGGCTCGACCACCCGCTCCGACGGCGCCCCGCGTCTCTTCCGCATCGATGTCCCCGCCCTGGACTGCTACTTCAGCGGTACCGGCGATATGTTCGCCGCTCTCACGGTAGCCCGCTTCCGCGAAGCTGTGTTCAACGCCGATGCAACTCTCCGCAACACTAAGTCGTGGGTCTCGCCTGACGATGTTCCCGCTACGGAGTTACCCCTTGCCCAGTCTACCCGGAAGGTGCTGGCGAGTATGCACTGCGTACTAGAGAAGACTCTGGAGGCGCGAGATGCCGAGTTGCGCGCCATTGTTCCGGATGAGGGTGAGAAGCTGCTCAGCCAGGAGGACCAGAAGAAGAGGGCGCATCTGCGGGAGAGCAAGGCGGCAGAAGTACGGGTGGTCCGGCATGCGCAGTATCTGCGGGAACCGGAGGTGGAGTTCCAGGCGAGTGAGTGGCGACGGGAGGATCTGCCGGCGCAGTTTCGTTGATTCTGTTGCTAACTGGGCGGCGAATTGTTTGAGCATTATAGATAAGTTATAGACGGGTGTTGATTTACATACCATCAGTCATGAAGAAATGCAGTGACGGACCAAACATAGATGACATCTATCTTCACGTTCATGTAATTGTAATGTAATTGTATTCCAATTGTACGGATATCATTCATGCCATACACATCATACCTCTAACATAACCCTTTCCAAAGAACCCCCAATTTAAACACCAGTACTTCCAAACCCACCAGCCCCACGAACACTCTCGGCCAATTCCTCCACAACCACAACCTCAGGGGTATAGATCTATACATCAGTTAGCTAATTGACACATTGGCCATTCATCAAGAAAGTGGGCAGGGCAGAAAATACCCTCTCCAAAACCAACTGCGCCACACGATCTCCCTCCTTCACCTCGAAATCCACATCCGAGTGGTTAAACAAAAGAACCTTGACCTCTCCCCGGTAGTCTGCATCGATGACGCCCGCGCCAGTATCAATGAAGTGCTTCGAGGCGAGGCCGGAGCGGGGGGCGATTCTGCCGTCTATACCACGATACCAGTATCATCAGTTTCTATCATCTCTTCTGTATTAGGTAGGTTGGTACGCACACGTTCCCTCCGGCACAGCAATGGCAATGCCCGTATCAACCAACGCCTTCCCCTTAGCAGGGATGACGGTCTCCTTGGCGCTGTACATGTCGTATCCGGCCGCGAAGGCAGAGCCGCGGGTCGGGGCGCGGCCCGTGGGAGTGAGCTTCTTCACTTGGAGAGGAGGGAGGGGGGTGCCGGTTGAGCCCATTGTTGATGATGTAGTTGTGTCTGTGGTATCGGTGTTGGGTTTGGCGCGTTTGGCGAGGGGAGAAGCGGGGAGGGAGGGGGGTTCGTGAGTTGTTGTAGGTTCGTTGGTAGTGGTAGTGGTGGGAGGAGGGGTGGTCTCCTTGGTCATTATCTGGGTGGTGTGTAGTGGAGAGGAAGAAAAATTGGGTATGCTTCTTCGGCTGAAAAGGTGCTGAAGAGGTGTTGGAAATGCGGTGTGTTGTGTAAATCGACGAGATGCGAGGGCGAGGGCGAGACCCTTCATGGTGGGTTCTTCTATTTTTTCTAATTTGGGGTTGCTGGAATCGATTTCGGGGGAACGCGTCTGGCGGTGAAGGGAGACGCGAGGCGCGTTTTAATGGGCTTGGCGGGTTTGGGTTGTTTGGTTTATCTAGTGGTTCTGATAGACTGATACAGTGAGTGAGTTAGGATTGGACTAAGCCTAGATGGGTAAGGAATCCAGGATAGCCGAGGCTCCCCGCAGCGCCCCCTTCAGGTGAGCCGCGGGCCGTGGCTGGCTGGCTTGAGATCGGGGCTATCCCCGGGTTTTGTTCCCATCCCCAGCGTGACTTATTCTCCGCTTTTGCTACGTTTTATAGGAATTGGTGGTGCTACATATAGTCTCACAGCATATTGTTGTTGTTGACGTTCGCATTGTCTTGGATATGGCTGGAGCGGTGCGCCAACCTATTGATGTTCCTTCCCTGGAACGCTATCTCAATCTCAATGTACCCGATATCAAGACCCCCTTGGATGTGAAGCAGGTATATAGGATGGCCCTGTTTGATTTGATTCGTCTGGTCACACACAACTTACACGCTACAGTTTGGCTTTGGTCAATCTAACCCTACCTATCAACTCACCACCGCCGACGGCAGCAAATATGTCCTGCGCAAGAAGCCCCCGGGCAAGCTACTCTCCAAGACCGCGCACAAAGTCGAGCGCGAATACAAGATCATCCATGCCCTAGGAAATACCGACGTGCCCGTCCCCAAAGCATACTGTCTCTGTGAGGACAGCAGCATAATTGGCACCCCCTTCTACATCATGGAATTCCTAGACGGACGACACTTTACTGATCCTGCCATGCCTGGGGTCGACCCGGCGGAGAGAACCGCATTGTACGTCATCCCCTCCTCCCTCCCCCTGCCTCTTCGGGAGGATACAACCCGCCTGGCGCGGCTACTGTTACATGGAGGCGGGAAGAAGAAGCTAACCACTGCAACCCCCCTACCAACAGATGGCAGGATGCGGTCCGGACATTAGCCAAATTCCACCGGGTAGTACCCCAAAAGGTCGGGTTGGAGAGGTTCGGAAAACCGACGGGGTTCTATGATCGACAGATCGCCACCTTCACAGCAGTTGCACAGGCGCAGGCACAAGCCGTGGATGTGGAGACCAAGGAACCTGTCGGAGAGTTGCCTCATTTCATGGACATGGTGCGTTTCTTCGAAGACAAGACGACGCAGCCGCAAGACCGCGGCACGCTCGTGCACGGGGACTATAAGATCGATAATATGATATTTCACAAATCCGAGCCGCGAGTCATTGGCCTGTTGGATTGGGAAATGGCCACGGTGGGGCACCCTCTGTCCGACTTCTGCAACCTCACTAGTCCCTTTTTCCTCGATGGAGTGGACCACAAGAAGGCAATGTTCGTCCCGAAGGTGGTGCCTGGCTTGCCCGCTCGAGAAGACTGTATCCGCTGGTATCGTGAGGTGTCCGGGTATGACCCCACTGGGGATATCCCATGGGGCGATGCTTTCTTCTCATGGAGGAGCTCGGTTATTATGCATGGTATCAAGGCGAGATATGCCCTGAGACAGGCCAGTAGTGCCCGCGCTGCGGAATATGCTAGAAATACGGAGCCATTTGCGCTGGAGGCCTGGGAACGAGTTAAGAAAGTTCAGGCCCAGTTGAGCCAAAAGGCCAGGCTGTAAACAACTAACTACTTGGTTTTCCTTGCCAGGGCAAACAGACATAAATTAATTCATCCCTAGAACTTTTTACATTGCCTCACAAGGTCTAGCACCCTAAGTGGAGTAGATATCACGGCTTAGTTGTTTTCTGC